ATACTTGTCTTAAAAATCAAGGACTTGATTCTATGATGTCAACATTATGTTGTGATGTTATTCAATCATTATTTGCAACAACATTTGAATTATCAGATTTAACAAATTACTTTAGATTTGCAGCTGGAGCTATAACTAATCTTGGAACAGAACCATTACAAAAAATAACTGCAATTGCTTTTCTTAAAGAATTTGTTGAAGGATTCTGGAATGAATGTATTCAAGACCACAATTATCATGAACCAATAATCTCCAATCTAATTGATATGGATGTTGATGGAACAGCTTTAATTAGAGAAATTAATAATTTTATGAGCATACCAAATCCATTAATCCACTCATTAAAAATATATTTTCTAAGAATTTTACATAATCGGCACAATCTTTCACTCAATGATTTAAAACAATTTTGTAATAGACTAAATAATACATTTCCATGGCTTGCAAGTATTGTATGGGAAGACCATTCTCAAAATAGACTTCCATTTAATCCTTACTGGGCCTTAGATATGTATGCAGAAGCTGATAAAGGATTTTCTAGTTTATATTCACTTAAAAATAAAGCACCAATTGAGACCTTCCTACAATCTGTAGAAAAAAATGAGTCAATAGGACATAGAATTGCATTTGGTGGTGTAGTTGTACAACGTATACATTTAGTTCATGCATCAGATGAATGGACTCTTGATTATGATAATGCCAGTGAATATCTTAAAACTGAAATTAATGGATTGATGATGCTTACACCACTTTATAGACAAATAATTGACAATATTCTACAAAATAAACAGCCATTACTTCAATTAAATACCAGGGAAACAAATGAAACTTTGTTAATTAAATCTGTAATTGGACATATTGTAATCTTACATTCATCAATTCCTGCAGACTCATCACCATTAACTGTTTATCTAAATAATATACAAAATTGTCATATGCATTATATTTTAACAGTGCAAACTGAACAATTAAAATTAACAAGGTAAAAATTCGGATTTTATTTATTTAACATTATGATGATGATAATGATAATAATAATTTTTTAAATAATTTTAGGTATTTATGTCAGTGTGGTTATAAATATTTTATAGTAAACTGTGGTCAAGCAATAGAAGCAAGTAAATGTCCACAGTGTAAAAGCAATACAATTGAAGGTGCAAGTCAAAATGTAACAGTTATGGATGAATCTAATAATGTTGACTATTCAGTTCGTACTATGCCACCAAATGCATATCGCATCTTACATTTAATTGTTCATGCATTGATTGGTTCTTCAAATAGTGCTAAAGATTTCTTAAAACAAATTGCCAGTAATATTGAAGAATATTGCTTTAGACATATACAGAATGACTGGAAAGTACTTAAAAATATTTTCAATTGCAATGATGAAAATTTAGCATTGTTATTACATTCAATTCTAACAGAAATGTCAAAAAAACTTTTTACTGGTGGTCCATTAATAATTACAACCCCTGCTCAGCAGGATGAATGGGAATTACAATTTACTAAAGATTATGTTGAGCCACAAACAAAAAGCTTTAATGAATCTGTTACAAATTTCCATAGAAAATTAGATGCAGGATTAAAAAGAGCAAATGGAAATGCTAATATAATTGAATCAGAAATTAATCAGACTATAGATATGGATAATAACTATAAAGTTGAATATTTACCAAATCTTTGGAGAACAATAGGAACAATAAGCTTTGAAAGTTTTAGGGCATATTACCTTGCTGATCAAATCAATAACAATAAAACATATCCATTTCTTTCAATATTTTTTAAACACTCTGAAAAATTATCACAGGTTAAACATCTTTTTCCCATTATTAAATTTGCAGAGATATTGGCATCAAGACTTGAGTATAGAATCAATAGAAAAGATGCTCATAATAAATCATTCCAAGAATTTATAAATGATGAATCAAATGGAGGAATAATTAAAGAGACACATGAAACATTAATTAAAGCATTTGATGAATTTTTAGAAGCATGGAATGCAGTGCATGATCAAGTCAAAAGATATCAGATTCATGAATTTAAATCAGTTATTCCTAGTTTGTCTTTAGATAGCCCAATTGTTTTTGCAATAGTTGAAGAAAAAGATACAGGGATATTTATTTGTGCAATTATAAATTACCTTGTGACATTACAAAATAATTTCTTGCAAGAAATCACAAAAATTCCAAATGGATCTTGTAAATCATTAAAATTTTTAGAAGAACCACCTCAAGTTGATGTGGGATCAACATCCAGTGATGATAGTAGTAGTTCAACAACAGCTCAGGCCAATAGTCCACAAGTATCTAATCAATATTATATACAATCATCAAGAGCAAGCCAATTAAGAAAATCAAATGTAATTGATTATGAGTGGGATGAAGATATTCTTCAATATAGTCAAAGAATCCTTACTATTGGACATGGAGATGATGTTATTTATGACTTGCAAAAGATTGAACTTGAACTTGCATATTGGCTGGTTTTTGATAAAGCATATATTGAAACTGTACAAGATTCACAATTATATCTAGAACCATTTTCATACCATATGGAATTGTTCCAAGGATATTCAAGAATTCTCAGTGACATTAAAAATATAATTCCACAAGAACCTATTCCTACTGAAAAAATATTATTGATTAGAGGAGAAGCAGG